TTCTCCTAGGATACAAAGTCTTAGTCTGATGAATCTTTTTCCTAAGATAAAAAAACCTAGTCTGATGAATTTTCTCCTAGGATAGAAATTTTAGTCTGATGAATCTTTCTCCTAAGATAATAAATTAGAAAACCTAGTCTGATGAACTTTCTCCTAGGATAAACGTCTTAATCTGATGAATCTTTCTCCTAAGATAAAAAAACCTAGTCTGATGAATTTTCTCCTAGGATAGAAATCTTAGTCTGATGAATCTTTATCCTAAGATAATAAATTAGAAAACCTAGCCTGATGAACTTTCTCCTAGGATAAACGTCTTAATCTGATGAATCTTTCTTCTAAGATTAAAAAAACCTAGTCTGATGAACTTTCTCCTAGGATAAACGTCTTAATCTGATGAATCTTTCTTCTAAGATTAAAAAAACCTAGTCTGATGAATTTTCTCCTAGGATAATTAAAAAAAAGGAAATCTATTTTTTTTTTAAAATAAAAAAATATGGTCAATTTTAGTTTTCTTAAGTTGTTAATCTTTAGCATTCCTTTAGTTCAGGAGTCCCGCCTAAAGAATAAGGTCATTTTTTAGTTTTCTTAAGTTGTTAGTCTTTAGTTTTTCTTAAAGTTCAGGAGTTCTGCCTGGAGAATAGGGTCAGTTTTTAGTTTCCTTAAGTTCTTAGTCTTTAGTTTTCCTTTAGTTCAGGGGCCCGGCCTGGAGAATAGGGTCAGTTTTTAGTGTCCTTAAGTTATTAGTCTTTAGTTTTTCTTAAAGTTCAGGGGTCCCGCCTGGAGAATAGGGTCAATTGTTAGTTTTCTTAAGTTTTCAATCTCTAGCATTCCTTAAGTTCAGGGATTCCGCCTAGAGAATATGGTCAATTTTTAGTTTAGTCGAGCTCAGTTTATAGTTTTGTTAGCAACTCACAAATCTTCCTAGTGCAAACTGGGGCAGAAAATCTTGTTTGTTTTGATAGCAGGCGCCCACCCGGAGAACGAGGGAATTCATTTCACAATTATTTCAATTTTCAAGACAGTAGCAGGCGCCCACCTGGAGAATGAGAGTATTTATTTCAAGAAGTTTTAAGATTCAGGTTTTGGTAGCAGGCGCCCACCTGGAGAATGAGGGAATTCAATTTAAGTTTTAAGTCGGTAGCAGGCGCCCACCTGGAGAATGAGAGAATTTATTTCAAGTTTCAAGTCAAAAGCAGGCGCCCACCTGGAGAACGAGGGAATTTATTTCAGAGTTATTTCAATTTTCAAGACAGTAGCAGGCGTCCACCTGGAGAATGAGGAAATTCTTTTCAGAGTTATTTCAAGTTTCAAGTCAGTAGCAGGAGCCCGCCTGAAGAATATGGTCAATTCAAGTTAGAAGTAGCATAAGCTCGCCTCAAGAATACGAGTCGACAGTTCGAGATGACCAAAAGAAGTCTCAATCCAGAATAAAAGAAAAGAAAAGGAAAAAAAAAAAAGAAAGTGAATCCAAAATGCAGAAGCAGATGAAAGATGTAAACTGCTCAAGACACGACTTAAGTCACGAGCACTGCATTCCTCGTTTTTATCAGAAGAAGTTGTAGAATAATGAAATAGCATCTGCAGCTAGCAAGTATCAAGGTTCAAATCAAAAGTATGCATGAAGAACCATTCAAGACTCAATATCAAGCTTCAGAAGACTTACAGATAGGAATCTTGTAACTCATAGCTGATAGGCTTGTTCAGTTCCTTTAGATTTTGATTTTAATGTAATAACAGGACAACGGACCGGAGCCTCCACGGAACCTCACTCGACTCTCGAACTCATCATTCAATCATTCTCCTTGAACTACACGCGACCTGATTTTCTTATAACTTGGGATATGTAAGTTGTCCAAAACCAGGACTCGGTTGTACTCTTGCACTCTTTTCTTTTATATCGTTTCCTTTTGAATAATAATTTGGTCAAAAATTAGTCACATGGCTCACCTTGTCTTTGCCTGAAAACTTTTCATGTTTTCACACAAAGAGGGGCATGCTGTGAGCACCTAATTTTTGATCATATTTAACTCTTTTGACCATATTTAACTCTTTTCATCACTTTTTAGCATTTAACTATCTTTTAAGTTTAATCTTGATATTTTAGCTTTATTTCACCTTCATAGGTTTTATTTAAGAAAATTAAAAATCACAAAAATATTATATGTTCTTGATTTTAAAATATTTAGCTAGTATTTTTATTTTACACTCTTAAAAGAAAAGAAAAAATATTAATTAAAGCAAGAGCCAATGAGTCATTTCCATGTGGCAGGATTCTTCCTTATCTTTTGTAACAAACTCACATGCTCTCCCTCAAAACTCATATGCACATACACACTCTATTTCTTTGGCCACCAATTAATCCTTATACCTACACCTATATATCTTCCTCACATACAACACACAAAGGAGGGGTTTCTCTGCACAAAAAGGGGAGGGGGAACAGACTGAGAGTGGGGGAAAATTGAAAAAAGAGGAGAACTGAGAAACGAAATGAGCAAAAAGTGAGAGAGTAGCGGCCTCAAAAAATCCTTTTCTTTCCCCGTAAAAACCAGCTCTAAAAGCTTCATAACCCACATGAAATCCAGCCATAAAACACCACCTCAAATCATCCCAAACCTTCCCCTCTTTACTACTGAAAAAAGTCACCAAAACACAGCAAAACAGTTTAAAAAACCAACTTCTTGCATCACTAAAAGATCTGCAACTTAAGCTCCATTTTCAGCCCATAAACTCCAAGTTTTAACCACAAAAAACGAGCAGTAATAACCCCTCAACTGCAGTCCCAAACCAGCCGTGACCTACCCTTAAACTCGCCGTCAAAACCACCGTAAAACCCCCGTAACAGCAGCTCATGGAGTTGCCAAGTTTCATTCACAAAATCCCATGAAAATCCCCTCAAATCCATTTTGAATAGTTTCTGGTTCCACCTACTAAAGCACCATAAAAGCAATTTTGAATTTCTCCATTAATCACGTCGAAACTTTGTCACTCGAGGTCGCCGGCGAGTTCTCCATTCCCTGTCCAGTTTGTTCGAGATTTCTCGCCAAGTTTCCATCTTTGTATTCTCATATATATAAGGTCCGTTCCTTTTCTTGGTGCTATATAATTTAGTGATGTTTGAAATCATTTTTATGCTCTATGCTTTTCGCTTAACATAGATAAATCGTGATTTAGTCATTTCTTACGTTAATGTTTAACATTTTAGTCGCTAACTCTTATCTGTTCATTTATGATTAATTTTCTCGTTTAGTTTGAAACAGAGTTGATAAGTATTGAGATTTTGTTAAGGTGCATGTTTGTTTGGGTTCTGATTTTAAACTTTCGAGTAGTTGGTCTAGTAGACAATTGATCCATGGTTTTGCTTCGTTAATTGGATAAGAACGACAAATTTTTCAAATGTTTGAGCTATTAAATTATTTTCTGCCTAGATCTAACATTGTTTGGAATTAATAATCTTGCCCGATTCCTGAATACTCGTATGGGCCAAATAAATATTTTTTCGTCAGGCCCAATTCAATAAGATAAAACTAGGTCACATTTCCACAACTAATTTATTACATTTTTTCACTACTACTCCATAATCATGTCTCACAATAATTTCAAATTAGCTTAGAATATAATTCATGAATAAATGGAATGCTTTAAGCGCGCTTTTAATTGATCTATCACGATTATGTATACGCTCGCGTGACGTAATTATAATTTTCAAAAATTAAAATCAAATAAAGTGTTATTAGTTGTGTACACGTACGTGTGACCTAACTTTGGCACACCAAACAAAACGAGTACATGTACGCGTGACTCGTTTCAAGATAATTTCATAATCACGAATAATCAAGTAATTAAAAGGCGGTAAAATAATAAAATACACATAGGTTCTAAAATACGTAATTAAACAATCTAACTAAGCCAGGTATAATTAAAGCGACCGTGTTAAAATTACGAAATTCGGGAATGCCTAACACCTTCTCCCGGGTTAACAGAATTTCTTACCCGGTCTTCTGGTTTCGCAGACTTTAAAACAGAGTCAAATTTCCTCGATTTGGAATTTTAAAATAAACCGGTGACTTGGGACATCATAAAAATTATCCCAAGTGGCAACTCTGAATTTGAATAAATAATTCCATTTTGAATAATGTCACTTTCATCGGAAAAACTCCCTATCCTTCGGAAAAAAGGAGGCGTGACACACGTGATTATTTAACTCAGCCTAAAACTCGTCTAAACTATCTTTTTTTTTGTCAGTTACCAACTTAAACTATCCGGTGTCCCCAAAAACTATCCTCTTGAACTATATTCCGCTATAACCCCGTATTGGACTTTTAAACGTGCGTATGTCTAACTAATAATTAAGTAGTAAACTAACAAAAATATGGTAGTTTAAGGGGATTTTTAGAGTATTTATGAGTTGCTATGCTTGGAGCAAATTTGCCACATTGTTTGGCAAGTGATTGCATATGGGTTGTTAAGATTTCGAATATTAATCATGAGATTTTTATCATTAGCCCCAAAATCAGTAATCCAAGATGCCATAGATATAATTATTAGCAACGATCTTTTTAATTGCAAAAATAAAGTAGAAAACGAAAGAAATTGAAATGAGGAGAACATTTCCTCTTGGATAAAAAGTTTTCACCTAATACTTCAAGAATACCTTTTCACTGACTCTTTTTTAACAACGGTAGAATTCCAAACTAGTTTCTTACTATGTCTAAGTAGCATAAATATTAGATAAACTTGGACATTTTTAAAAGAGTCACCTAATGATTTCTCTTTAGATAACTTTGTCATTTCTACCCAATTTCTCTTTAACCAAGCAAACGAAAAAAGATTCTCTACTGTTTTATCCTATTCCTATTTTGTCATCTTCCTAGTTTCCAAACAATTCTAAAGTTTCATCTCATGGAAACTTATCCTTGGTGGCCAAGTAACAATGTATTATTGGATAGTAATACAAACTTTTTATTTATTTATGTAAATAAATAAATTTTCTTCTATTATCTTTAGGGACAGCTAAGCCTATTTCCCGCTTCATCCTCCCTCGCGTGACCCATACACTGATACTATTCCACACTCCACGCGACTTTTCTCCTGAAACGGAAAGACTCCAAAAGTCCACCGCGCTCGCCACTCCCCGGCTGTCGTCTTCGCCGGCGACGACGGCGTAAGAACTCTTCGCTCTTCAAAACATTCTAGGTTTTCACTTTTTCTCATCAGTTTTTAGCTTTTATCTAGTTTTACGATGAGTGCTGAGACAAGACCAGTAATCACCTCGCTTGCGAGAACCACATGGAACTCAGAATCGTTATACGAATCGAAACCAGAAGTTATTTCGCAAGCTTCAACTATACCGGAACTGATTTCTTATCTAAAATCGGCTTTTCGTGAGAGGGAATTCTCTCTGGTCGAAAAAATTCTTATGGGCCGAGAAAAGCAGCTGAGGACAGAAATTCAAAATCTTAAAAGGGATTTTGATTTAGCAGAGAAGGCCCATGCTTTAGTTGAACTGGATAAGTTAAATATGGAGGATCAATTGAATAATTTTCAGAGGAAATGTGAGGTACTGAAAAAAGAAAAAGCTGAGGCTGAGGAAAAAGTAAAGGCTTATGAGGAAAACATTAAAGAGTTGGCTGATAGAATGTCAATCCTGGAAGAGGAAATTGCGAAAACGCGTGATGAGGATGTCTCGGTGATCCAACAAATGGCAGAAGATTGGGAAGCGGCGAAGGAGGAGGTTGTAGAGGAAGGTATTATGCTTACATTTTTTTTTTGTTTTTGTTTTTTAATTTTATTTTGTTTTACAGTTTAATTGTGTTTTGTGTCGGCTTTTCAACATTTTAGTTACAGTTATTGAGTGGCAATACTTATCTACATTTATGCATGACTACTGTAATTTTTACTTGGTTGTGGACCTAAGTATTTGTGTGGCACCTAAGGGAGTGACCTAGTGGTCAATGAAGGGGCAGGAGAACTATGAGGTCTCTGAAAAAAATAGTAAGTGATCTCTTCCCATTTGCCTAAGCTTTGGTGCGCAGAGTTAGCACGTGTGCTGGTGGGAGCTAGCATTTACCTAGTGGAACAGTGAGGTGCATGCAAGTTGGTTTGGAAACCACTATATAAAAATAGTATTTGTGTGGAACTGTAAATGTGGTAGACTCTGATTTGGTGATTGTGTGCAGTTGTGGTTTATATTCTTATTTACTTTCAAAGTCTAGCTGCCTAGGAATGACATGGTCACATGGGTGTAGCTGCAGGTAGTGGTAATACGGACTTTGTTTCAACAAAAACAAATATGGATAATTGTCCTGATGCCCAGGCATTGCATCCCATGCCTTCTGCTTGTGGTTCTGCCCAAGTAAATAGCAATCTTTCCAACTTAGGAAAGAAAAGATGTCGTTCAGAAGAAGCAGGTACTTATTCAAACATGTCTTGTTGTTATTTGTGGCGTTTAACCGAGCTCTCAACTAGTTTTGGTTTGAGAAGTGAAGATGTCAGTCCTTTTTCATTCTATGATCAAGAATATTTGCAGTCTTATATCTTGCATTGTATGTAAATTGACCAAGATATTTGCAGCTATATGTTGCATGGTGTGTGAGAGAAAAGTGAAAAAGTCATCATTTTCCTTGGAATTTATTCTTATTCGTTTGAAAACTTTAACAAGCATACTTCGTTGCACAATTGCAGCTTGTGCTTAGCTGAAGAATAGCGAGGTCTTTACCTTGTGTCATATAACATAAATTGAAAAGAAATGCCACCCAGCCTTTTGCATTGCTCTCCCATCCTGTTAAAATTAGTGTAGCAAAGATAGTTGGAAATTAAAATTTAAAATTTCTTGGCGGAAAAGTAGCAAATGAACTCAGCTAGAAAGTGGAGTAGAAGTCAATTTAGCTCCATGTTGAATGACTATTGGATAGCATCAATCATTATATAAATATCTCATGTAACTGTTTGACTAGGAGCTACTGCCAGCAGTTTTGAAGAACATTGGATGTATTAGTTATCAAAGAAGTTCTATCTTACTAATAAATGATAGTTGAACTATATTATGCCTTGTACTAAGGAAGAATAAGTATGACATTTTAAGTCCTCTATCTAATAGTTTAATATACTTTCGGTGAATGCCCCGGTCTCAATGGTTTCAATATTTATAATTATCAAAACCCTGAAACAATATATTGTTACACTAGTAATAGTCTAATAAATGTGCTTGGTTATATCTCTAGATAATGGGGTAATAGTGTCACGACCCAAACAAACCTCTGTCGTGATGGCGCCTATCGTGGAACTAGGCAAGCCAACTCATTTTCAAAACAAACCGATATTTTCATTTCAAAGAAAATTTCAAGATTATTTAACATAAAACCTCCATTTAAAGAGTTCAAATCAAAGAAAAACAGAAGTGCGGAAAAGAAAAGCCCGACATCGGGGTGTCACTAGTCATGAGCATATACTACAATCTGTCTAACAATATCAAGGCTAACTCAGCCCGAAAAATAGCTAAATACAACTAGAGGAAGATAAGAGGGAGAAGAGCAGGGGCTGCGATCGCCAAACAGCTACCTTGCTATCTCCAAGAAAATCTGCAACCAAAACACTCAGTAACCGCTACCGTGTCCAGCTATACCTGAATCTGCACACAAGGTGCCTGGAGTAATGTGAGTATGCCAACTCAGTAAGTAACAATAATAAATAAAGACTGATCAGTAGTGACGAGCAATAAAGCATATAACGTTCATATAAGGAAATCTCAGTAAAATACCACAT